CTCACCAGGCTCAAGATTGACTCAGCCTTCCATCCTTCTGAGGTCGGTAAAACGAGGAGCCAGATTGTTGGGGGCAATAGGCTGACTCTGTAAACCCACTTAGAGAGGGCTGTAAAAGCACTATGAAGCAGTATATAAGTGTAAGTGCTAGTGCTATTGCTATAAGAAGACAGTCTCTCAAATTTTTCTACTAGTCAAGATTTTCAAACCTATGGGAGGGATTGGCAGTAAAGAGACCGGCAGCTTCTTGATTCCATTAGTCCATCAGCCACTCCCTTATATTCTAATTTATTGTTCTTTGAGTTGTCTTACAGGAATTCTTCCTGGATTTGTTTTACAAAGGATGGCATGAGCACTATTTAAATCAGTGTCACGTGCATCTGTCCAGCTATTGGCATCATTACACAATTCTGGTCAAACAAAAACTCTTCTAACAGCTAAAAGACATAAAACTACCCGTTTCCCTCTTCTGGTTTTATTGTGACTGCTGTTGGGGTCATCTAATTCCTCGCTGTGTCGAGTAAAAAAGAAATCTATTCCAAAGAACATTCAGAAGAGTGTACTTGTTTCAGAGTGATCCCTGAAACATCAGTTTAGAGATTGCGATCAAGCAATTGCTCATGAAGTGACCATAAACCTCAAAATAGCTGACTCTGACTCTGATCAAGTAGGAAGTAGATGTACCATCCGTTTCCCAGATGGCTACTGCTAGGAGGAGAACGCAGACAAAAGCGATCAGTCCAACAATTTGATGCAGCAAAGTTCTTCTAAGGAAGATTTATGCTCTTATAGCAATTAAGCAGGTAGAACAGCCAAAGAGAGCAAGAGTGGGCAACCTCACTAATTTCATCCTCAAACTAATTTCAAAAGCCCTCTGCAAACAATTAGTACGGATCTCTGGCAAGAGCAATTTGTCTCTTCTCCAGCATCGTGCTGGGTGGGAAGGAAGTAAAAAAGAACAATGGGGATGGGGTGGAAGGGGGAATGGGATGTCCAAAAGAGAAAAGCTGAGTTCACATATCACACCAGGGCAGGGATGGCTCCAACGTGGTTTATAAACCTATAACAGCTGGGTTTACACAATGCTTTACACAAAAAAAACCCGAACCAAGCCACAATAAAGCTATGTGCGATGTGCGTACTAGTTCAGAGGGAAAGAATAGCAGTGAGTGTAAAGAAGAAAGAGGGGAAAATGGGCGTCCCTGCCAACTCTAAGAGCATGAAGTTCCCAATTGGTCTCCCCCAAAGAACTCAGCAAAATGAAAGCTTGCAACCTTTACGGTAGAGAATATCTAACTATGGGAAAGCTCTTGAAGAAAACTGTTAATGAGGTCAACTATACTTCATTTCATGTACAGTAGTGGTTAAAATTGTGGAAAACTTTTGGGAAAAGTGTATTTTCTAACACTAGCGAATAACACTACTTTTTTGGAGCAGTACCATAAAATTATATATCAATGGAAAGATAATTTAATCAAGAATGTAATGCAATAACTTTTATGAAGGATTTGCTACTAGAATAATAGTTACAGTATAAAGAAGAAAAGTGAAACACGTAGCAGAAACGAGCTATAGAAAAATTATCACCATGTCAGTTAATACTTAGTTGGGTAACCTTTAGCATGAATTACGGACTTATAACGGCTTCCCATGGAGTGAACCATGTCTTTTAGTTCTGCAGCTGTTATAATGTGAAACCAAGATTGAATGATTGCTTCTATTAACTGGGCTTTATTGCTGGGTTGCTTCTGACTAACAAGTTTCCTTAGTCGGCTTCATAGATTTTCAATTGGGTTAAAGTCTGGGCTATTCCCAGGCCATTCCAGCAGTGGAATATGATTATCTTGAAACTCCAAAAAAAAAAAAAAAAGTGGTGTTATTAGCTATCAAACCTCAAAAATACACTTTTCCCAAAAGGTTTCCACAATTTTGGCCACTACTGTATGTAACATTTCTAGAATAAAACTGTAGTCCTTTACGAAACAGGGAACATGGACAGGATTTGAAACAAGCTTCTTTTGACTTTATTTGCCCTCCCCCTCAAGAAGTGTTACTTCTAAATTAATCCTTCGGGACAAACACTGATTTTTTTTTTTAATGGTGAAAATCATGGCTTTGACAATCTTTTTTCCCTAAAAACTCTGTCGACCCAACATTAGGCTGTAGCGTCAGGCTCAGGATCATTTTGAAGCATTTGCACTATAAGGGGTAGATTTCAGTCCTAAAGTACAATGCAAAATTGTCTCATCAATCAGAGACAGAAGTAAATAAGGGAACAAAAACAGTGTTAGCATGGGATATACATAATATCAATAGTGACCAAAAAAAGGGGGGGCACATTTTAACAGAAAAGCAGTATACAAATAAAACTGTAAAGTCATGTTTTTCCCATTATTTGTAAATGTTGAGCGAAAATATGATACTATTGCATAACAGCTGTCTCCTTCTAGTTAACCTCAAGTCTACATAGCTTTATGGACATTTCTGTTTAGTTTTCCTAGAAATAATGTAGAAGAGTGTTGCCATTTTCTGGATTTTTGGTTAACGTCCCAGTATATTCCACTCCAGTATATTCTGCTAACTTTGTTTAGGCTCAGAGACTAAGCAGGATGGCTTGAATGGTGACGAATAAGCCAACTTTTTTTGGGGGGGAGGGAGATTTTGCTTTTAACAGTAATTGTCAATATATGCAATTTCTGATTTCGATTTTCTACCTAAGATAGGAGAAACGTGAATCTATGTCAGCCTGTTTTAGTTCAACGCACTGCACACTACCCCTCAGCCTCATTTTTTATGAACTTCAACCCAAGTTCTAAACCAGGATTCTCTAGAGTAGTCAATATTGACCTCCAATGATCAATGGGACTATCCATTGCTGTTGCTATAGTATAAAAAAAACAAACTTACAGTAACATAGTAGTTAAAGAAGTATTAAATTACAAGGAAAGCAAGCAAGAAAAGAGAGAGAGAGAGAGAGAAGAAAGAAAAAGAGAAAAGAAAAGAAAGAAAAAGAGAAAGAAAGAAAGAGAGAGAGAGAAAGAAAAGAAAGAAAAAGAAAGAAAGAAAGAAAGAAAGAAAGAAAAGGGAAGGAAGGAAGGAAGGAAGAAAAGGGAAGGAAGGAAGGAAGGAAAGAAGGAAGGAAGGAAGAAAGAAAGAGAAAGAAAGAAAGAAGGAAAGAAGGAAAGAAAGAAAGAAAGAAAGAAAGAAAGAAAGAAAGAAAGAAAGAAAGAAAGAGAGAAAATTGATGAACAATCTGAAAGTTTGGGGGGCCCTGCTAAACTGTGTGGTCCAGTGAGTTCAGTTCAGCACCAGGAACAATCTGATCCCTACTCAGCAGCATGCTGAGCAGGAAAGAACAAAAAAAAGCATATGGTGGGCTCATCGTCTGGCTCTGGCTCCACCTGCTACTGGTGTCAACTCTGCCCAACCATCACTCTACAGCCCCTAATAGACCCTAAGGAAATGCTGCCCTTTTACCACTCCATCCTTTAGGTTGCACTTACTAAGGGCAATGGAATTTACTCCCAAATAAACACACATAACATTCACTTGTGAATGCTTTTATGGCAGGATAGGCCGTGGAAAAGGGTCATTTTTCAGTGTTATCTACATTCTACACATAGGAGTTTTTCTTTCTTTTTTAATTTAAATTACCCTTATGGGAAGGATGCATTTAATGTCCCTTGTTAAGTACTAAACTTGTCTAATCAAATGTGAATCTCGCTGTGTTTACTTAAGTTTACTTCTTCATAGCTATTGTAACTTTATCCATTGTGCCACAGCTCTAATCATTTACAACTCACAATATAAGCAATGTTGCAATTGTCTGAAGATGCCCTGCCTACACCCACCCACACAAAATCAAAGTGCAGACTGAATATCCAAAGTTGTACTCTTTCTCCTTGGGACAACAGTGGAAAAATAACAGATGTAAAAATACAGTATATCTATTTGCTGATCTCTTATTAAGCTCCAAATCAGCTGCTTTGGGTAGTTGCCTTTTTCTGACTAACATCAGTGCCAGCTCTGGATTGAGTAATGTGTTACAATTAATCAAACTGAAATACAATAGCCCTGAATAACGAAGTGGATTTCTAAGGGAATCCATTAAAGGGGCTTCTACTTTGAGAAGCTGGGGGAAAAGAGGGAGCTGCATTTTAACACCTTGCTTTTATTATCCTTACACATCAAACCTCAGCCCGGATTTCTCCATTTCTTACCAGGGGAGAGTTGCATTTCAAAAGGACCGAGAACAATATATCCAGCTCACACCTCAATTCAAATTCTGCAATGATCTGTCAATGAGTGCCTTTTGCCACTTAGCAGTTGGCACCCTGGGGAAGTCTCAAGGTAGTGGATAGGGCTGGGCTTCCTGCTGCCTTTCCTGGAGGTGCACCAGCATGGAGAAAGAAAATAGCAAAGTGGTTATCAGGGCTCCCCACCCCACCCCACCTCTTTCCTGCCAAGGGCTTACAAGCCAGGATATCTTCCACTTGGGAAAGGCAGGGAAGAAGACAAGGCAGGTTAATCAGAGAAGGAGACTATGTGTAGCTCAGGGTTGAAATGAGAGGTCCTTTGGTGCTCTCTGAGCCTGGTTGTTTTCTTGCAGACTTTTCATCAACCCAAACCAGGTAACATCATCAGCACTGATGATGTTACCTAGTTCAGGTAATAAAACATCTGCAGGAAAACAATCAGGCTCAGAGAGCACCTAAGACCCCTCAATCAGAAGGCTTTTTAAAAAGGTATTTCTCAACAAAGCAGGTTGAGGTAAGATTGTAATTGGCTTTTTTTTTTTTTTTGCTAGATTAACCCTTCTAGCAGTAGAGAGGAAGAAAGAAGGGAGTTCAGAAAAAGGTTAGGGTTGCTAGTTTTATTCCTGGGCGTTGTAGTTTGTTCCTCCCCCTTTTAAAAATCTTCTAGCTCCAATTTTGCCGAAGCAGGACTTCTGAGAGCCAAGCCTTCTCTTTCTGATGCAAGGACAACTCCCAAGATTCTCAACAATGGCCATGCTAGTTGGAAATCCTGGTAGTTGAGGTTTACTCATCTGAAAGGGGTTACAGACTGGGAGAAAGTGACTCAGCTACTCAGAATACACTATGATACCAACCTTTCTTTCATAGTCTGATGACACCATACATCACCTGAGGCACACCAGAGATAGTGCTGAGAATCAGGAGATTCCTCAGTGCCAGTTTTTGTTATGGAAAAATGGAGTGAAACCGACATACCAGTAAGTATGTAAGCTTAATGCTTTATCCCCATATGTGGCTTTCCCACTGCAACTTTTTTTCCTTCTTTCAACCTGTTGCCCCCAGGTGTTTATCCTTAAGACAGAATCACAGCATCAGAAAGACAAGGAATTTCTGAAGCTGCCTTTCCAGGCGCTTTTTAAATTTATGGTGAATTAAAATGAATTGGATAGAGCCTGATCCTAACTTTGAAAACAAAATTTAATACTGTGGCTAAGCCTTGGAATAATATTCAGGCAACAGTGTGCATCTAAACCAAGTACAAAGTGCATTTTTTTGCTACACATCTAGAAATCCGATCCATCAGTATATCGTCATCAGTATTTTCTCCAACGCATCTCATTTTAAAAGGCAGTAATAAACTTTTAATTACTCAGTGATTAATACTTTCTGAGAGCTCTTCAAGTTGGCAATATAGAGGTGACTGATAAGAACATTGCTCAGATTGGGAAGATTATAGTCATGACAAGTGATTTAGATAGTATGCAAACAAATAAATGCATCGTGTTGATAAAGATAAAAAGATGCCCTCAAGTTGCCCTCAAGAGACAATCATGCATTTTTCTTAGGAATATGTATGTTATCATTAGACGTCTCCTATTAATTAGAGGATTTCATTCTTACTACAGCTTTTCCTTCCATTGTTTGACTTTTACAAGACTCTTGACAGAAAGCAAAAGTAGCTGTTCTAATCTACACAACTGAAAGAAGTGAGAAACCAAGTGTTTTAAGTAATTTCAAACAAATAGTTCCTTATTTAAAACAAACAAATAAAATCTTCATCACTCATAGAATTTATCATGCCGGCCAGCTAGAGATCAACAAACTTTCATTAATTCTTGCATCTAACAAGGTTGTTGAAAAATCATTTTCAATACTGCATTTTTTATATTTTTATATTTTACAGCAACACAGACCTGCTTGGGGTTGCAACTCCTCACATCTGGAGAACATCAAGCAACATCAAGTCTGAGACTGATGAAACAACAGTTCAATTTGGCATTGCAGAATTTAATTAGGGATTAAATTAGGGATTTATCTGTCCCCACTTGTGCTCGTTTTGATGAGTCTAATGGATTCAAGCTCTGCATGAAAATTTAGCCTCGTACTCTTAGGCAGATTTTCTGTCTCTACACTATTTATTCTACCTCTATCTTGACAGCTGTTCTATTTTTACAGCAATGCCACCCAAATTGCTCTACTTTTCATCCTTGTGCTTGGTCTATTTCCCTGTTCCCTGCTCCAGAAGCCACTTTCATTCCAACTGGTTTCACTCGACTTTTGAATCTCCATGCTCTTATGCAACATTCATAGTACTAGCAATCCACTTCTCATCTGTGTACAATTTATTTTTTTCTGAGTGTCTCTTCTCATCGTGGTTAAGTATCTGCCACTTTCCATCTAGCTTTGCTGCTTCCCTCTAAAATACTTCCCAACCAGAACTTGTTCTGACCCTTTTTGTCCTTGCAGTTTTCATCGTTCCAGCTTTGTTCTCTGTGCCTTCAAGCCATTCCATCCCAGATGCCTTCAGGCAAACCATCCATGAACTTCTGAATGGCCACCCGTGCCCTTTGCCTTCTCAGTTTTTCCTTCACTTACCAATGCTCATAACTCTGCCAAAGACAGATGTGTTGTCCACTGTGCTGCAGTTCCATCGCCTCTGCCTGAATTGGAATTGGCACTCTTTGATGGCGTTCTTAGCCCCCTCACCAATGTACATCATGTGTTCCTGGTATAGTTGGCACAACTTTCTCTGGCCTGGGGACAACCCTGGTAGTTGGCTACACACTGGTTGGGCTCCAATGATGTACATCTCAGGTCTCTGGATTGGATTCATAGCCAATGACCTGGAATGAGGAAAACATTGTCAAGAAATAAATCCTTCCATTCCCCACCATCCAGTCAGAGCTGAAGAAGCTTCTTAGATGAGAAGCGAAACGTCCGTCAAAGAAAAACCAGAAAGTGCAGTTGCCTCTTAGGAAAAAAGCACTGTTGGGATTGTCAAGAAATGCCTTTTTTGACTGTTAAGGCTTTGTGTCTCAGCAGAATCAGAGCATAAAGTCATAGACCAGAGGTCTTCAAACTTGGCAGCTTTAAGGCTTGTGGACTTCAACTCCCAGAATTCTCCAGCCAGCTATGCTATGCTATGCTGGCTGGAGAATTCTGGGAGTTGAAGTCCACAAGTTTTAAACCTGCCAAGTTTGAAGACCTCTGTCATAGACCTTTCCAAACTCAAAGAGAATAGTTTGGAATGGGGAAGCTAAGGCTTCCTTATTTAAGGACAACCACATAAGCGTCCAACTGGTTCATGTTTATTGACTCACATCAGCTTCCCCATGAGATGGATAATTCAATAGAGCTTTGTCCCCTGGAACTAAGTAGCTGAATTAACTATCCACAAAGGATCTTTCCCACAAGTTAAGGGTCTGTCATAGTCTTCAGGGAAAAGAGCCTGCTTTGACTGTGAGCTTTGGGAAAACACTTTCCATGCAGGATGGCTTTGGGACAAGCGGTCCTGAAGATGACCTTCTTCCTAGGCTTCAATCCAGCAGCCACTGAATCTGCTCCAAAGCAAGTTACCTGCAAACTGTTGCCTTGTACTGTAGTTTGGGGGCATGTAAGAGATTCCCTACACCTACATCAATAGGAAGGATTGGGGAGGTGATGGCAAGGCACTCCAAGAAGTAAGTAAGTAAGTAAGTAAGTAAGTGTGTGTGTGTGTGTGTGTAAGGGGGGTGAGGAACAAGGTTTTGGGAGCGTCTCATTCTCCAGAGGGCAAGAAAGGCGCAATCAGTTATCTCATTTCATTTTATAAACGGACGTGCTTCAAAAGTGCAAAGGCACTGATTGGACCCCCGGCGAGCAGCTCATATTTCTTTCAACCGAGGCAACGGAGAAAAGTTAAGAGAAAATCACTTTTTAGAGAAAGCCGTTCCAAGCGAGCCCTCGCTTTCTCTCATTCTCCCCTCCACCCAAGGAGGTCGGCATCCCTTTATGGGGCTTGGGTCTTTTCTCCACCACCGCCTCCTCTTCTACCACCACCACCATGGTGAAAAGAAAAAAGAAAAAAAAAGAAGGAAGGGAAAGAAAAAAGAGAGAGAGAGAAAGAAAAAGAAAGGAAGGAAAAAAGAAAGAAAAAAGAAAAAGGAAGAAAGAAAAGGAAAGGGAAAGGAAAGGAAAGGAAAGAAGGAAGAAAGAGAGAGAGAGAAGAAAGAAAGAAGGAAGGAAAGAGAGAGAGGAAGGAAGGAAGGAAACAGAGAGAGAGAGGAAGGAAGGAGAGAGAGAGAGAGAGAGGAAGGAAGGGAAGGAAGGAAGGGAAGGAAGGAAGGAGAGAGAGAGAGGAAGGAAGGAAGGAAGGAGAGAGAGAGAGGAAGGAAGGGAAGGGAGGGAGGGAGAGAGAAAGAAAAAGAAAGAGAGAGAGAGAGAAAGGAAGGAAGGAAGGAAGGAAGGAAGGAAGGAAGGAAGGAAGGAAGGAAGGAAGGAAAAAAGAAAGTAAAAGAAAAAGGAAGAAAGAAAAGGAAAGGGAAAGGAAAGGAGGAAGAAAGAAAGAGAGAGAGAGAAGAAGGAAGGAAGAAAAGAGAGAGAGGAAGGAAGGAAGGAAGGAAGGAAGGAAGGAAGGAAGGAAGGAAGGAAGGAAAGAGAGAGAGAGAGAGGGAGGAAGGAAGGAAGGAAGGGGAGAGAGAGGAAGGAAGGAAGGAAGGGAAGGGAAGGAAGGAAGGAGAGAGAGAGAGAGGAAAGAAAGAACGAAAGAAGAGAGAGAGAGAGAGAGAGAAAGAAAGAAAGAAAGAAAGAAAGAAAGAAAGAAAGAAAGAAAGAAAGAAAGAAAGAAAGAAAACAAAGAAAAAGAAACCCGACTCCACTCACCACCAAGAACTGGCTTCGGCCAGGAGCTGCGTGTAGCCGCAGAGGAGAGCCAGGCGGAGGAGCAGTCGCGTCCCGGGCATGGTGCGCTTCCCGCGGCTCCCGCGCCTTTGCCCGGCTAGGCTGAGACTCAGCTGGGATCCCTGCAGGACAAGAAAGACAGGCGGGAGGGGGCGAGTCAGCCGAAGAGAAGAACCAGCGAGCGAGGGGCGGGGGGGGGGAGAAGCTTAAGTCCGGCGAGGGGGAGGAAGCTCGTGGCGCGCGCCCCCCTCCTCCCTCGCCTTCCTCCGGCCAAGGACTCTTCCTCCCCCCCACCCTTCTCCCCGCACGCGGTCCTCTCTCATCTCCCCCACACCCAAAACCCAGCCAGGTTGGGCGGAAAATCCGTAGCTTTCCCGCCAGGAGAGGGGAAGGGGGGGGGGGAAGGAAGAGGCCAGTACCAGAAATTGCGCTCCCCCCCCCACTCTGCACAGGAGAGATCAAGCCCTGAGGAGCACATTACACATGCTCAGAGGCGGTGGGTCCCCTTGCCACCAAGGTTAGAGAAGAGGTAGAGTCAGGGAGGGAGGGAGGGAGGGGGCGCCCCATCTCTGGGTCCAGGAACGGTGACATCATTCATAAAGTATGACATGGCATAGATCAAAGGGGGCTGGCGGGGGGGGGGGGGGGCGAGTGGTGACAAGGGAGAGATGGATCTGGTCTGAGTTAAAGCCAGCAAAGCAAGAAAGTTTAAGGGGGGCCCTTTCCAGTATGATCGATGTTCTGATGATGTTTGGAAGCCGTTTTTTCAAGGTGCAGGACAAGAGGGATCCTAGCTTTTGAGTTAACGCATCAATCCTACCGTTGGAAACAACCATTAAAAGAAAAAGTTGATATACCACCCATTTTCATATGTGACAACATGCCAATGGACAAATTGTTATGACCAATAACAGCCAAGACCGAGACCGCCTGCTGCCACCGACGACCTCCCATCGTCCCGTGCGCTCCCACAGAGAGGGCCTCCTCAGGGTGCCATCAGCCAATCAATGCAGGCTGGTGACCCCCCAGGGGGAGGGCCTTCTCTGTGGGGGCACCTACCCTCTGGAATCAGTTGCCCCCAGAGATAAGGAGAATCCAAGACCTTAGCGCCTTCCGCTGTGCCCTTAAAACCCACTTTTTCCAGCAAGCCGGGCTGGCTTAAGAAGAAATTTTAAATGTTTTAATTGGTTTGTATTTTTAATTTTGGGCCAAATTTATATATATTTTAATTGTTTTTAATATATGTATTCCATGTTTTTTTAATTCTGGCTGTACACCGCCCTGAGTCCTCAGGGAGAAGGGCGGCATATAAATTTAAAATAAAATAAAAATAAATAAAAAAGAGATTGGAAATATCTAGTAAACCAGACTTTTTAAAAAAATAATTGTAGCAAGCAAATGTCTAGCTTTCTCTGCACTTAAGCCTGCCTTTTCCTTCTCTGAAGCTCAAGGCACTTCTGGCTCTTCTTTCCTCCCATAATTATCCCCAAGAAGAAGGGGAGGCAGAGAGCTCCGTGTCCTGGTTATTCTGACACACCAACTGTTGTGCAACCAGCACAGATCCTTCCAGAAATCAACATACTGGCTACTCCTTCCAGAAATTGGAGAAAAGGAAGCTCAAGACAGATATACTGCCACCTGACAGTTCAAAATTCTCTCTCTAGCTGGGCATTTCAATAATGGTTATGATTACAGTGCATATCTCTAAGCAGAGCACAGGAAAGGGTGAAAGCAGCAAATATCCTGCTGGCATCCTTTATTAAGCTTTGTGGATTAGCGTGCACTTGCATCAGAATCAATTAAGTCCTGACTTAAATCAAGTTCTATCAAAGTTGCCGGCTTGAGTATACGAACAGTTGCTTGGCCTGGAAATATACAGTATTTATGGTACGGTCAAAGTCCAGAAACAGTTCCTCAGCCTTCCTCTGAGATGCCGAATTATCATAATGCATTGGTGTGCAGTCACATATTCTAAAGACCAGCATTTCCTTACATCAGCCCTGACCACAGTGGGGAAGGAGGAAGAAGAGACCAACAGGGAGGGAGTAGGACAACTATTCTTATTCCTTTCATAGCTAATCATCAACTCCATCCCTAAAACACAAGAGTGGGAAGCTGGAAGGAGATCATCTTTCCACACCACGTTTCTGCAGTTTACTCACTTCCATTCATACTGCCAAGACTTCATTTGCACCCCAACCCAGGAAGCTATGTTAATGTCAGGTCTCCCAATCCTAAACATGTGGATTCATAACACAGACTAGAGGCTATCTAATCCAAATAACCAGCAATGTTCCACTACACACCGCCCGGATCAGCCAGAAAATAAGGGAAGGGATTCTCAATTCAAAGGCAAGATTTCTAGGAAAGTGCGAACCCTTGCCCTGTTTAAAAATTAACCAGGAAGTGGGAACAACGTGGTGTTCATGATTTATTTTTGTTTGGTTCCATACCAAAGAGCATCCCTTTGTCAAGAGGAATGCTAAAGAAATATTTGCTTATAGAGCTGTGTTAGCCTTTATTATCTGTGTCGAGGATAACACTGTTTCATGCTAAAAACAGATTATCTAGCCATCTTGGCAAAGGATCCACTTTGAAAGTTTAGTAAATTGGGTCTTTTGATTACTGTAAATTTAATGGCATCTGAAAAACAGATTTCTTGCAACTTCAGCTTAGATTTATGCTTTCATGGGCCCAAGTTCAGTTTGCCATTAATCAGATTTATGCAATGAGTATGCAACTTTGGAACATACTAAAGCTTCTATGTTGCTTTGCTGTGGCTGGATATTCAGAATTATGGGTTATTGAATAAGCCTCAGTGTTCAGCTTTCCACTATGCTAAACCATAAACAGTAGTTTACAAATCACAGTGATAGATTAGCCATTAAGAAAAGCAAATTATACATCACAACAACCATTGTGATATTATGCAACCTCTGTCAAAAAACAGTAAAAAAAAAAAGACAGAAAAACACTTTCCTATTAGCAATCAATACTTCTAGTCTCTAGTCTACCTTTTAGCCTACCAAGAGCCCCAGAAACTGCAGAGTTAAGGTACTTCCTAATAAGGCTTTTATTAGCAATTGTCCTGCCTTTTCCATACAGCTAGGAAAGGGGACAGGTTTGTTAGTTTCTGTTTGCAACCCTCATTTATTTTCTACATTTTTTTCCTTTTCTGAAGAAGAAAAGAAAGGCAACCTCGCCTCACAATGTCTTTTGAATGGCTAGGAGCTAGCTATCTACTGTGCTTGAAGTGTTCCTAATCTGAAAAGTAAAGTGCAAAAAAGTCACATGAAACATTTAATTAGTTTAATTTAGATTAAAACAAGACCCAGCAAGCTTTTAAAGGTCAAACTGTCAATAAGCATCTGTCTCTCAACAGCCCTCATTCTTATGTATCCCACATATTTTACTTAGGTGGTATTACGAGACTTCTGTGTAATTTTTACTCTCATTCATTTCTTTGTTTGATTTTTAGCCTGCTTGTATTTTTGGTGACTCAATCCAATATACATACCTATATACCTCGCGAAAGACATTCATCTGGCCTTTGGCCCTATATGTTTTTTTATCTAGGTTTCAAAATGCAAATTCACACAGGTCAATTTCGTTCCTTCAGACCAACTGCACCCACTGGAGATTAGTACGTGCAACCACTGTTGATTGGACTTTCGTATCAACCAAAACCTGAGAAGTTCAATGTATTATATTTGGCGTGCAAGTCATCAATCAAGAAATCCACGAAAGATGAATTTTCTGGCACTCAAATCACGATCCCTGCTGATTCTGACATTCGGGTTCATATCCTGTTTTGATGGGAGGGACATGACTCCTGCTATTCCCACCCCCCCACATTCCCCCTGCCCTGTCTCCATTGTATCCTCTCCACCACCCTGGGAAGTCAATTGGCTTAAGAAATAGGGGCTGTGTTTTTGCATAATATGCTAATCAAAAATAAACAAAACGTGGCTGAAAGCATAAGGCAGCTTGTTTGATTTATGAACCATTGTTTAGCACGTTGTGCAAGCATTTACATAAAACTGATTTCAAACCATCCATCGGGCTTCATGGTTGAATAAGGATTTGAACGTGATGCTTTCTGCCTGGCACATTAAACCCATACACCACACTGGCTTTGCAAAGACGAGGCATCTATTCTACATCTCTTATGACTATAACTTTGTTGCTTGTATCCTTACGATTTATATTGATTGTTTCCTAGTATGATTCGATTGCTTATTTGTACCCTATGACTATCATTAAGTGTTGCACCTTACGATTCTTGACAAATGTATCTTATCTTTTTATGTACACTGAGAGCATATGCACCAAAGACAAATTCCTTGTGTGTCCAATCACACTTGGCCAATAAAGAATTCTATCTATCTAATACAAGCGCTTTGAAAACAAAAACTCATGTAAATCCTAGGTAAGAGTTTGGACAGGTAAATAATAGAACTTTTGCACATACGCTTTTAGCATCTTCTGCCAGAAGCATCTTTAGCTATGGGACTTGTAGAAATCACTGTCAGGGAAAGGCCAATAAAGGTCCTAACTCCAAATGCACTTATAATCAGTAGTTAAAGTTAGGTTTATGGACTATTTAATTCAGGTCAGAGAAATTTTAGCCTTTTGGGGAGGAAGGGTGTTGGGGGAGGAAAAGACAACCTTAACTCAAACTCAACCGAAATACAGATTCCTAGCCATGGCATTGCCCATCAGGGGGCACCCTGAGATGCTTCTGTTCCACTTCCTGTTCCTGGTGGGGTTAGTGGTTATACTACTGTAAATGCACAGTCTAGGATCCAAAGAAGGCAGATCAAACAGAGAAACCTTTGTCATGCAGAGGCTTCCTAGAAATGACCTGGTCTCTATGGCATGGGAATAAAAGCTCTCCTACAACTCCTCCCCAAAATAAACCTTCTCTTCAAAAGGACTCCTTACAATATGCCTTCACACTCTCAATTCCACCCCCACCCCCACATATACACCCACCCCAACCCCTTAGGGCAGGAGGTCCATGAACGTAAAGTAGTAGTAGAGAAAGGCAACCAAGATGGAACAGATAGGACTGGCACCAGCAGAGCTGAGTTTAATGGCTTTCTGGGAGGGTTTGCTGGCT